ACAAACATAAAATCAAATATTAAAAAACAAAAGATGCCACATGAGCCCAAGGTAATCGGGAGGAAGCAACTTTAAGTGTTTGCAGGTAAAAATAATTATATACCTAGACAAGTCAAGAGACTTTTGAAGTATGAGGGCACTTAACAATTCTTGGAAAACAAAATTAAAGAGTTTATTAATGCAACAAAAAATTGAAATCCATGTGTAGTTTTTTTTTTCCCCACAATACACATTTTCCATGAACTCTTTGAAGATCTCTCATGTGCATGGATTAAAAATATTTCCCACCTCCTGCCCTGGCCGGTACAATAGCCTTGCCCAATTGGCCCACATGCATTCTGGCTCTTTCTGTTGGGTGCTACAGTTCTGCCTGGCCCACCCCAAAACCCAGCCTTTGTGTGGCTCAGTAGGTGGCAAGACGTAGCACAGCAAGCCCTACACTTACCCTGGCTCCTACAAGCATCAGAAGGTACTAGAGCCTAGCCCATTCTGGCACATCCCATACCCAGTCCATACTCATGCCAAACGTTGTTGCAGCCATGTCCAGCTCAAATTGCCATCCCATTTCTGCTCTTGCTCTCACCAGTAAGAATCTTTTTTTTTAAGATTTATTTTTATTACAAAGTCAGATATACAGAGAGGAGGAGAGACAAAGAGGAAGATCTTCCATTCGATGATTCGTTCCGAGTGACCGCAACAGCCAGTGCTGTGCCAATCTAAAGCCAGGACCAGGAACTTCCTCCAGGTCTCCCATGTGGGTGCAGGGTCCCAAGGCTTTGGGGTCTCTTCAACTGCTTTCCCAGGCCACAAGCAGGGAGCTGGATGGGAAGTGGAACTGCCGGGATTAGAACGGGTGCCCATATGGGATTCCGGCACATTCAAGGGAAGGACTTTAGATGCTAGGCCACCACGCCAGGCCCACCAGTAAGAATCTTAACTCAGCTAGGATACCACCTTAACTCCCCAACCAGGCCTGCTCCTAACTACAGATCTTGCACATGCTGGTAGTTGCTCTGACTCAGCCTGGCATAGTCCATCAACCACCTCGGCCTTTGCCTTTGAATGCCGAAGTCTGGCAAAGCCCAGTCAGCCCCCATTCCTAACTCTCACTGATGGGTACTGCAGACTAGCCCTGTCCAGCCTGCTCCCATACCTGGCTTTGATGAAAACCAGTAGGTATGATAACCTAGCCTAGTATGGCCCACATTCCATCCTGGCTCCAACACATGCCAGTGTGCTAATGCTTGGCCCAGCCCTGCCCAGTCCACTACCCTGGCTGGCCTGACCAACACTCACCCCGACTTACATGCTCACCAGTGGGAACAATGGCCCACCAAGGGAGTTCTCAAAGTTCCCTCACCAGGCCCACTTCTAGACCCAGATCTCATGTGTGCCAGCGGATGCTAGGCCCTTAGCCGGCACAGTCCACCCCCTTCCTGACCCAGTCTCAGCCTTTGTGTCTATTGGTGGATGTTGTGACCCAGCCTGCCCCACTCCCAGTTCGTGGGTATGCCTGTGGGTGCTACAGCCTGGAACAGCGTGGCCTTTCCCAATCTAGTACCCATAAATATAGGAGAGTTCCATGGTTATACTTAGTTTGGCCTGTTACCACTCACCTGGGACTCAAACCTGTGTGGGAGTTTCCAGGTCCACTCTACTCTGCTGGTCCCCAGCATGAGCCCCAGGCCACCAAGGCCACCTATGTGCTGGCAGAAGAAAGATGCCCAGGTGCCACTCCTCAGTTGCTGATGTCTGTGCAGTGAACAGCATGCCCAGATGCACACAGGGGACATGACAGTCAGTTCATCTAGGCAAGCAGAGGATGTCAAGTGCCTCATACTGAGATGGAAAGCAGAACAGGCTGAACCATTCTCTGGCCAAGCTTTGCAGCAAGTGTTTGGGTCTGTGGATGTGCTGAGGTGGACTTAGTCAACCAGTAGACCTTGGAAAGATTTTTTATCCCTGGTGCAACAAAGCCAGCAACATCTCAAAAGTATCAAAACCACTCAGGTAACACCACTCTAGGTTCTCTAAAAGGATCTCAAACGACCATCCCCATCTGATGTAATTTGTTAGCAAAGAGAAGCCCCCTCCCTTCTCTCCCCTCCTCTAGATATAGAAGAAGAAAAAAAAATGGAAACATTTGTCCCACCCACCGTCTCCATGCTTCAATCCTCCCCACCCTAATCAGTGGCCCACATGGGCATACATCCTTCTCTACTATGTAAACAATCCGAGAGAGAGAGACGGAGAGCACCAGTTGTATGCTCAGTGCCTGGGTGTGTTGCAGACAGCCTACATCCTGAAGATTTAGAACAGGAGGTGAGCTGTCAGCCCACAGCTGCTGCCCAAACCTTTACAAAAACCAACAGGGTGAAAGCTGGGCACTGCCAAGAGGTGCCTAAAAATATCCCGTGGACAATGCGAGAGGAAGCTGTGCAGAGGGCAGAAGGTCGATCACACACCACAGACTGGACTAAGGCTGCCAGATTGGCCCCTTTGGCTGGTGTTGCATCCAACCCAAGAGCAGCACAGGCATGGGACCACAGGCACGGGGCCACAGCCACGCCTCAGGGCGAGCCGTCTGTCGCGTGCTTCTGCAGCAACTCCCAGGCAATGAAGTAGGCTCCAAGGACATCTGCCCACAAGCCTTCATTCTCTCCTAACAATAGTTTCGGACACACTTTCAGGAGGCACATCTTTTCATCTACCCTGGATTTCTGATTCAGTGCCCAGTTTTGTCTGCTGTCCCAAGGAGCTCATTCCATTCTGCTGGTAACCGGAGCTCCTGTCTGAGGTCTGATTTTAGTACAGAGGCGATGGGTGGACAGCGCTCCCTCTACCCCCAGGGCAGATGCTGGAGCACAGGAGGGTGAGCTGGCAGGGCCAGGGCTGCAGTGTGCAGGAGTCTGATCAGCTCTGGCAGGATCCAGAAAATAAAGTTTTCCAGACCTGACCATACAGGCAATGGTACAGGGAAAGCACAACGGTTGGGGCCAGCATTTTGACACAGCAGGTAAAGCTGCTGCCTGAGATGCTGGCAGTTTGAGTTCCAGCTGCTCCACTTCCCATCTAGATCCCTGCTAATCGCCTATGAAAAACAGCAAGGGATGGCCCAGGTGTTTGGGCTCCTGCCAAATCCAGGAGCCAGGAATCCAATTAGGGTCTCCCATAGAAGTGGAAGCGATTCAACTACTTAAGCCACCATCTGCTGCCTTCCAGGGAGGGCATTTACAAGGAAGCTAGAAAAGAAACAGTGGAGACAGGATGTGGACCAAGTGTTCCAATATGGGATGCTGGCACTGAATCTTCTAAATCTTGATAGAAATCCTTCAATTAAATATATGTTTTGTGGGCCCGGCCTGGTAGCCTAGTGGCCGGGGTCCTTGCCTTGCATGCACCAGGATCACATATGGGCATCAATTCATGTCCTGGCTACTTCACTTCCCTTCCCTGGAAGAGGCTCCGATCTCCAGAGGTTTCGCATCAGCTTCAGCCACTTGGAGAGTGAACCAACAGATGGAAGATCTTTCTCTATGTCTCTCCTCTCTGTAAATCTGCCTTTTCGATAACAAAAATAAATCTTTAAATAAAAAAACCATGTTTTGCAAACATTTCCTGGACAAAGCCAGGTTCAGGGTCCCAAGAACTTGGGTCATTTCCCACTGTTGTCCCAGGTACATTTAACAGAAAACTGCATCAGAAACGGAACCAAGACTGGAAGTGGTGCTCATGGAGAAAGAGACCCAGTGCTAACCCAGTGCAGACCCAGTGCTAACCCAAGGCGCCACGCCTGCCCCACAACTCCTTTCTACTGTGGGTTGTCTAGTCACTTTCTTGATGATGTCTTTGTAGCACAAAGATTCTAATTTATATGAAGCTCAGTTTGCCAATTTTTTCCTTTGGCTGTTAGTGCTGCTGGTGCCAAGTCATTTGAAGGTCATTTAGATTTGCCTCTGCTTAAATATTTGTTGTTTTAGCTTTTTTTTAAAAAAAAATTTTGTTTATTTTTTCATTGGAAAGTCAGATCTACAGAGAGAAGGAGAGACTAAGATCTTCCATCCGCTCTTTTACTCCTCAAGTAATCGCAATGACTGGGGCTGAGCTATCTAAAGCCAGGAGCCAGAGTTTCTTCTGGGTCTCCCATGTGCGTGCAGGGTCCCAAGGCTTTGGGCCATCCTCGACTGCTTTCCTAGGCCACAAGCAAAGAGCTGGATGGGAAGAGTTACTGCTGGGATTAGAACCAGTGCATATATGGGATCCCTGTGCATGCAAGATGAGGACTTTAGCTTCTAGGCTACCAAGCCGGGCCCTGTTTTAGCTTCTAAGTATTGGTTTTTGGCACATTTTTATTTAGTTTTTAAAAATATTTATCTATTTTTATTGGAAACACAGATATAGAGGGCAGAAATACAGAAGGAGGGCAGATATACAGAGAGAAAGATCTTCTGTCTACTGATTCACTCCCCAAGTGGCCACAATGGCTGGAGTTGCACTGATATGAAACCTGGGTCTCCTCTGTGGGTACAGGAGCCTAAAGCCCTGGGCTGTCCTCCATTGCTCTCTCAGGCCACACACAGGGAGCTGGACAGGGGAACAGAGCAGCCAGGACATGAACCAGCGCCCATGTGGGATATTGGTGGACACAAAGCATTGACCTCAGCCACTAGGCCATTGTACTGGGCTCTTTATTTAGTTTTTGTATATGGTGTGAGATAAGAAAATGCCACTCCATTCTCTCTCCATGAATTTAAAATTGTACAATTACATACAACTAGAAATAGCATATTTGTCAAAATGTACTTATTTGCATTCCAGACCAGCTTACTGACACTTACTGTCATGCCTTAGATTTGTGAACATATTCTTGTTGTTGTTGTCTTAAAGATTTATTTGTTTCAAAGGCAGTTAGGAAGAGGCAGATCTTCTACCTGCTGGTTCACTCCCCCCAATGATTGCAACGGCCAGAGGTAAGCAAGGCCATACAGATAACCAAGTAGAACACAAACGCTTTTTAATATGAATATGGGCACAAAAATACAATATACAGCCAGAAATAATCATTCTAACGATACTGACATTATCATCTAAGAATACAGAAATTACATTTTTAAGGAATACCAAGAGCAAACCAAACTCTTTTAAGTCCTACAGAAGTACTTGTTAGGGGAAAGGACGTTAACTTGGCTCTGGTCACAGTTCCATCATGTCTACTTTCTTTGTCAGTTCAGCTTCTATGGCATCCTAAAGGAAGAAATCGCACACGTGAGGTTAGAACACACACTGTAACTTCTAATGCTATCTAAATAAGGGAAGCAAAAAGAAAAACATTAAAACAAATATTTTACAACACCACAGCCAATATCAAATATACTTTTATATTTTTTAAGGTTTATTTTATTTGAAAGTCAGAGTTAGAGACAGAGAAGGAGAGATCCTCCACCTGCTGCTTCACGCCCCCGATGGGCACAAGGGCGAGTGCTGGGCCGGCCTGAAGCTGGTTAGGCAGGACCTTCCCGAGTCTCCCACATGGGTACAGGGCCCGGTAGACCCTGGGCCATCACCGCTGCCATCCCAGACCATTAGCAGAGAGCAAGTGGAGCAGCTGGGACTCGAATAGGTGCCCATATGAGATGCCAGGGCCACAGGCGGAGGACTAGCCTGAGCTGGCCCTCGGGTAAGTTCTTAGAATCAGATACCCCCTTACTTTGATTCTCTCTCTCTCCCTCTTCACCCGCACGCTCAGACACTTCATGGATTCTAATAAATATCTGAGGGGGAGAGCTTTGAGATGATGAGTCAGGGTAATGAAGAGATAATTCTGATTTTTAATCCAAAGCAGTACACTTCTCATCACTGTTGTCCTCAGTACTTCACATCTGCAAGCAAGGACAAATCGTTTCTGCCAGTTTTACTTTTTTTTACTCCTAAATCCATCCTATCTTCTAGTCATAGAAAAATCATCCTGAAGCACAAGCCTGATCAGTAGCATAACTTAGGCCTGGCGCTGTAGCCTAGCAGCAAAAGTTGTCACCTTGCATGCACCGGTTTTGATCCTGATGGTCCCACTTCCCATCCAGCTCCCTGCTTGTGGCCTGGGAAAGCAGTGGAGGACGGCCCAAAGCCTTGGAACCCTGCACCAAAGTGGGAGACCCAGAAGAGGCTCCTGGGTCCTAGTTTCAGATTAGCTCAGCTCTGGCTGTTGCAGCCAGTTGGGGAGTGAATTATCGGATGGAAGTTCTTCTCTGTCTCTCCTCTTCTCCATATATATGACTTTCCAATTTTAAAAAACTACAAAAAAAAAAAAAAGGAAAGGGCCTTAGCTCTTTCAGCATTCCTTTTATTTCTTTGACCAAAAAACAAAAATACTAGAACTACTTACTAATTCTCGCTTTGCTTCTTCAATTTTCACTTGAGCAAGAGATGGATTCTTTTAAAATAAAACAAAAGATAAGGTTACACTGCCTCGATCAGACAATAAAGGGAAAAAAGAGATTACAATTCTTTGCAGAAGCAAGAAACCTTACAGAGGAAATAACAAACACACCACACTGCGATTCCCTCAGCTTTTAAACAAACTCACCAGCTTACGATCATTTAGTCCCCTTAAGGAAGATTGTAGGAAATGACTTAAAAAAAAAAAAAGTAACAATTACCGGCATTAAGTCTAAATAGGACTCTAATTTTTTCTTCAAAGGTGCAGTCTGCCGTTTCAGTTCTGCAAGTTTCTGGAGATAGAAAAACACAAAATCACAGAGAAATAGAGACCTTCACAATGCAACCCCGTCCTGCCCATCTCAGAAATAACACATGAGAAAGAGTGGCATTCAGGTACCCCGACCTGAGTGAAACAGAGTTTCAAAGATGAATGGACAGGGCCCGGCGCGATTACAAGTGGTTAAGGTCCTAGCCTTGCACGCCCGGGATCCCATATGGGCGCCGGTTCTAATCCTGGCAGCCCTGCTTCCCTTCCAGCTCCCTGCCTGTGGCCTGGGAAAGCAGTGGAGGACAGCCCAAAGCTTTGGGACCCTGCACCCGTGCGGGAGACCCGGAAGAGGCTCCTGGATCCTGGCTTCAGATCGGCATAGCATTGGCCGTTGCGCTCACTTGGGGAGTGAATCATGGGACGGAAGATCTTCCTCTCTGTCTCTCCTCTCTGTATATCTGCCTTTCCAATAAAAATAAAATAAATCTTTAAAAAAGAAAAAAGATGAATGGACAAACTCGCCTCCAACAGAGGCAGCAAATACAAGAGGGTTAAGATGGTAAAGCTGCACCCACAGATCAGGAATGACCGGGGCCGGCACGGTGGCACAGCAAGCTAATCCTCTGTCGGTGGCACTGGTATCCCATAATGGCACCAGCTCATTTGGATGCTCTATTTCCTGATTCAGGTCCTCGCTTATGGCCTGGGAACACAGCAGATGATGGCCCAAGTTTTTGGGCCCTTGCATCCACGTGCGAGGTCTGGAAGAAGCTCCTTTTAAATAAATATATGTTCATGGAAAAAGAAATAAAAAAGGGGATTCGGAATGTAAGAAAGCTGTTATGGTGGGAGTGGATTTCTTTCCTTTTTTTTTTTAAATTTATTTAATTTTATTGTAAAGTTGTATACACAGAGAGGAGGAAGAGAAAGAGGAAGATCTTTTGTCCGCTGATTAACTCCGCAAATAGCCACAATGGCAGGAGCTGCACTGATCCGAAGCCAGGAGCCAGGAGTCTCTTCCAGGTCTCCCATAGGGGTGCAGAGTCCCAAGGCCTCTTCGGCTGCCTTCCTAGGCCACATGCAGGGAGCTGGATGGGAAGTGTGGCCGCTGGGATTAGAACCAGTGCCCATATGTTATCCCGGCATATGCAAGGCAAAGACTTTAGCTGCTAGGATACTGCGCCAGGCCCGGGGGTGGGTTTCTTACATAAAAATGAGTTCCACATGACCTGTCTCACGTGTGTTCACTTGCTTGTCTAACATGTTATGTAGAACTCAGCAAGAATCCCTCACAAGGTGTGACTTAGCAAGATGCCCCCACGATGGAAGACTCCCCAGCTCCAGCACCGTGAGCTAAATAAACAGCTATGACTCCCCCATTCCCTGACCACAGAACGCAGGCTCAGGGAACCGCTCACCTCCGACAGCGCGACTAGGGACTGATGGGACAGGGAAGCGTCCATGCCTCGGGTGGACAGCTGCTCCTACAATGACCGAGAAAGGAAGCTCCAGCTGAAAGGTTGTTTTGAAGGTGACCATCGTGAAAACGTTTCATTCATCAGGAAACAGAAAGAATGGAAACTACAAACCATACATGCAAACCGACATATGCCTCTACGCCCTGAGATGCTGCCCACAGCCCCTTCCCAGACTCACACCCTCATGACAAGGTGGAACCCGCACCTAGAGACCTGGGCCTCGGAGCCCCATGCCGGACCTGCAGCTACGAGGCCGGGTCACCTCGACCAGTCACCCGTCTTCTCCTGAGCCCCTCTCCTTTGTAAAAAGGAGCGACTGCCGAAGCCTGGCTGTGAAGAGCGAGGTGGGAAAGGAGCCTGAAAAGCAAGGACGGCACATCCTGGCCCCGGGACACACCTCCGCAGCTTTGATGCCAAGTCGGAACTCCTCTGACTTGGCCTTCAGGAAGTCCATGTTCTGAAGACGGCTGTCAACCTTGGCCCTTTCGAAAGACAGATGCAGTTCTGCCTTCTTCAGATCCCTTTTAAAAAAGCAAAATGAGAATATCAGCCTGTCCTCTCCAGTGAATGAGACAGAGAAAGATCCTCTGCAGCTTTTTGAATTCATCTCTGGCTTACTACTCAAGAGAAATAATCTACTTTCTAGATTATTTTCTGAAAGTCAGAGTTACAGAGAGAGAAGGAGGGGAAGGCAAACAGATCTTCCACCTGCTGGCCTGGCCCCCTCATGGCTACAATGGTCCAGGTTGGCTCAGGCCAAAGCCAGAGGCCAGGAACTTTATCTGGATCTGCCTCATGAGTGGCAAGTGCCCAAACACTTGAGCCATCTTCCACCGTTTTTCCCAAATCAAGAACAGGAGCTGGACTGAAAGTAAAATATCTGGTACAAGAGCCATAGAGGGTGCCAGTATCACAGGCGGAGGGTTAACAAGCTGTGCCATAGTGACAGCTCCTGTATTTTTCTATCATGAATTTAATATCCTAGACTACTGTGTATTCTCCCAGGTCAACTGCTATCTTGGAATTTTCCCAAGGAATACACAGCAATTTTTAGATTAACTCAGGCTCGGGCCTAGAGCGGTGGCACAGTGGTTAAGGTCCTCACCCTGCACGTCCGGGATCCCATATGGGCGCCGGTTCTAATCCCTGCAGCCCTGCTTCCCATCCAGCTCCCTGCCTGTGGCCCGGGAAAGCAGTCGAGGACAGCCCAAAACTTTGGGACCCTGCACCTGCAGGGGAGACCTGGAAGAGGCTCCTGGCTTTGGATTGGCTCAGCTCCAGCCGTTGCGGCTGCTTGGAGAGTGAATCATTGGACAGATCTTCCTCTCTGTCTCTCCTCTCTGTATATCTGCCTTTCCAATAAAAAAACAAAATAAATCTTTAAAAGAAAAAAAAAAAGATTAACTCAGGCTTGAGCCCGGCGCTGTGGCCTGGTGGCTAAAGTCCTCGCCTTGAACATGCCAGGATCCCATATGGACGCCGGTTCTAATCCCGGTGGCCCCACTTCCCATCCAGCTCCCTGCCTGTGGCCTGGGGAAGCAGTCGAGGATGGCCCAAGGCCTTGGGACCCTGCAACTGCACGGGAAACCTGGAAGAGCTCCTGGCTCCTGGTTTCAGATCGGCACAGCACCAGCCGTTACGGTCACTTGGAGAGTGAATCATCGGACAGAAGATCTTCCTCTCTCTCTCCTCTCTGTATATCTGACTTTGCAATAAAAATAAATAAATCTTAAAAGAAAAAAAAGATGAACTCAGGCTAGCTATTCTCAGAAAAAGTTAGTCTGCAGTTCATAAGAGTCGTAAAGCCTATTCGAAATAGAAGGTGCTGGATCCTTGCCTTACACCTGCCGGGATCCCTGTCCTGGTTTCTCCACTTCCCATCCAGCTCCCTGCTTGTGGTCTGGGAGGTCAGTGGAGGATGACCCAACACCTTGGGGCCCTGCACCCATTTGGGGAATCCAGAGGGGCTCCTGGCTCTTGGCTTCAGAACAGCTTGGCTCCGACCCTTGTGGAGACTTGGGGAGGTGACCCAGTGGACGGAGGATTTTTTTATGTCTCTTTCTGTGTATCTGCCTTTCTAATAGAAAAATGACGGGCCTGGCGCGGTGGCGCAGTGGTTAAGGTCCTCGCCTTGCACGCCCGGGATCCCATATGGGCGCCAGTTCTATCCCGGCAGCCCCACTTCCCTTCCAGCTCCCTGCCTGTGGCCTGGGAAAGCAGTCGAGGACAGCCCAAAGCTTTGGGAACCTGCACCCGCGTGGGAGACCCGGAAAAGTCTCCTGGCTTCAGATCGGCATAGTATCAGCCGTTGCGCTCACTTGGGGAGTGAATCATGGGACGGAAGATCTTCCTGTCTCTCCTCTCTGTATATTCGCCTTTCCAATAAAAAAAAAATAATAAAAATAAATCTTAAAAAAAAAAGAAAAGAAAAATGAAATGGATCTTTGAAGAAATAGGAGGTCCTAAAGTCTTTCCACCAACTATGATATTACATACTGCTTTGTACAGATGTACTATTTTCTGAAATAATTTGGTATTTTTCCTTCTATTTTATTTTTACTTTTTTAGAAAATTTATTTTTATTAGACTGTCAGATATACAGAAAGGAGGAGAAACAGAGAGGAAGATTTTCTGTCCACTGATTCACTCCCCAAGTGGCCACAACAGCTGGAGCTGAAATGATCCAAAGCCAGGAGCCCAAAGCCTCTTCTGGGTACCCCAAATGGGTATAGGGTCCCAAGACTTTGGGTCATCCTCAACTGCCTTCCCAGGCCCCAAGCAGGGAGCTGAATGGGCAGTGGGGCTGCTGGGATAGAACCAGCATCCTCTGGGATCCCAGTGCGTTCAAGGTGAGGACTTTAGCCGCTAGGCTGCAGTGCTGGATCCTATTTTATTTTGAATTTTATGGTACAATTCATAGGCTCTGGGATTTCCCCTGCCCACCCCTCTTATCCCCTCCCCCCTAACTTATTTTTTCCATATTATTACAATAGCATAGTACTTTATAAACAGTCATAAGTCCATCATTCTGTTTTTTAAGTGTGTCCTAACATTGCTGGTACAGACAATGGCAGACAGTTCAGCATCCTATTGTCAAGATTTATGAGCAAATTTGTATACCACCAAATTACCTGTGTATCTACACAATCCTGACCCCCAGACTCTCATGTCTGGAATAACAAGGACCTAAAGAAGGTCCATGCCATCAGAGGAAGGAAACCACAGTTATAACAACAAGATGGAACAAAGCAAATATAATGGCACTTGAAGTGGTATACTAGCTTACAAGCTAAAATAAATCAAATACATTCGAGTATCATAATGTGTATGCTGGATGTAAAAATAAATAAGAGGTAAGAAATTAGATGAAGTAAAAAGTGAAAGTCCATATGCAATCATCCCCACTTCAAGTAATTTTCTACCTAAAAGAATGATTTATGGATCCTTTGTCCCAACATTTAAAAAAATCACTTCTATAGCCAAAACTAAGTCTGACAATGTCCTGTTGTTACCTGTATAATAAAAGTTTGTCACTGCTTTCAACTCAAGTACTTACTCTCGTAGGCATTTTTCTAATACTAAAGTAGCAGTTAGATTTTTTTCAAGTTTTTCCAACTCAAGCTTAATTTCTTCATTTTTGGATTTCATTCGAAAAAGATCGGATGTGAGATCATTCACTGCGGGGATAAAACTACAAGAAGAAAACTGGTCACATAAGGAGCACAAAGGAAGACGATTATAATTAGTCCTCACCCCCAGGAAAAATCTTAGCTTTGTGTGGCTTCTTATGTGGTCGTGCTGTTTGATCCTGTCGCCGTTCCCAACCCTTGAAAGGGCAGAGCGCAAGTTCTAACTTACAGCTGTGTGGCTCTCTGTAAATTAGAGCGCTAGTTCTTACAGCTGTGTAGTTCTCAGAACGAGCGGCAGTTCTAAGTTACATCCATGCAGCTCTCTGTAAGAGCGGCAGTTGTAAGTTACAGCCGTGCAGTTCCCTGTATGTTACAGCGCTGGTTCTACCTAAGATGCGGTCATAAACAGTACGCACCCAGGAGTCAGTCAGGGTTAGACTCCCAGCTGTGCCGTTTACTCGTTTGCTGAAGTTCTTTTACCCATTCCTCCTGTAGCCCGGTGTTCCTCTTAGTTGTTGGAAGATCATGTCATGGAGGTAAAGGATATCACATGCAAAGATCCCAAGCCACCTCTACCCGGTACAGTGGGCACAGGACCAGAATTGACTGCGACAATCGAAACATTGAGCTTATCACTTTCCTTGATATTTACAGGGAACAATGTGATACCTAATCCATTTCCAATGCACACACAAGAACCAACCTTTATAAACCTAGTTCTGGAAGAAAACACTGAAATCTAACCAATACCAAATTTAACTCTATTAATTGTACTTACCAGCAAAGATACAGGGTTAAATAAAACTCAATGCTTTGGCATTTATTGTTGCTGCTTCATAAAGATTTGCCCGATAAGCAACAAGGTCCTTCCAGCAATATCTCATAGCATCACAGCATGTATTACGACAGAAACCGCAATGGTCACAATAATTACCTAGTAAGGGAGGTGTCCTTTGTTTCAAGAGCCATTGCACTATCAACCAAAGCGTTCAGGTACCGGGACCCTGTGCTGGAGAGATTGGCAGGGGAGAAGTTCAAGCTCTCCATGAGAAGGTCTTGAAGATGCTTGGCTGCAAATACACAGAGAGTTCCATGCTAAGATGTTTTCTTTGGGGGAATGACAGGAGGGCTTCTTTCCAAACTTTTAACACCTGTGTTGAGTTAGAACTCACTGCCTGGCATTCTACCCACCCGAAGTATATGTTCAGTGGTGATTAGTATATTCAGAATCGTACAGTTAGCAACACAATCCATTTTAGAATATTTCATCATTCCAAAAATAAATATCACATTCCTAAGTCATCATTTTTTTAATTTAAAAACTTTTTATCTATTTAAAAGACATACTGACATACTGAAAGAGGTTTCCCATCCTCTGGTTAACTCCCCACATGGTTGTATTGATTGGGGCTAGGCCAGGAACTCTATCTGGTTCTCTTACGTAGGTAGCAGCAGATTTCCAAGTGCTTGAGCCATCCATCTTCCTGCTGCTTTCCGGCACTCCAATATGGGATTTGAGCCTCCCAAGTTGGGACCTAAGAGTTTCCCATCCAATTCTCTGTTAATGTACCCTGGGAAGGAGCAGGTGGCTGGGGGCCCAACACCTACACAAGAGACCCAGCTGGAGCCTGCACTGCTGGCCCAACCTTGGCTGTTGTGGGTATTTGCAGAGTGAACTGCAGACAGTGGGGAGGGTCACTGTCTCTCTTCCTCTGTCATTGCCATTGAAACAGTTGAAAATAATTAAAATAAAAATATAGAACAGAAAGCAGAATAAAGGATGCTGAACAGACAAAAACTGAGACAATCTGCTGAGAAATCACCTTACAAGAAATACTAAAGGAAGTTCTTTAGGCTGAAAGCAAGTGATGCCAACTGGTATTTTGAATGCACACAAAACACTCGAGTATCAGCAACTATTTTTCTTTCTCTTTTACTAATTGACTTTAAAAACAAATGTGAGGAAAAATTGAACACAGTTGTATGATAGCTGCATAGAATGTATTTTTGAGCCATAGAAAGACGCTGACAGCACCACAAAGGTTATAAATGCGTAGGGTCCTATAAGGGTGTTCTGGGCTAAAGAAATGATAACTCATGGTGAGCAACAGTTACGACAACGCACTGTCCAGTCTGTAACATGATATAACATGTGTAACTATAACACCACAAAAGGGGAAAGGAGGATACAGCTGACTGTAGAGCAGTACTGTTTCTCTACTGACTAGAATTAAGCTAGTACAAATCTACAGCTGGTTCTAATAAAATACAAATGGTAACCCTTAGAGCAAACACTCAAAAAACATCAAAAAGGAATGAAAACATGGGCCCAGCGTGGTAACCTAGTGGCTAAGGTCCTTGCATTGGGATCTCATATGGGCACCAGTTCTAAACCCAGCGACCTCACTTCCCATCCAGCTCTCTGCTTGTGGCATGGAAAGGCAGTCCCAGAGCTTTGGGACCCTGCACCCGCATGGGAGACCCAGAAGAAGCTCCTGGATTTTCGGATCAGCTCAGCTCTGGCTGTTGCGGCCTCTTGGGGAGTGAATCAGTAGACGGGAGATCTTTCTCTCTGTCTCTCCTCCTCTTTGTATATCTCACTTTCCAATAAAAATTTTTAAAAATCTTAAAAAAAAAAAACACTGCAGAAATTAGAATGCTAATCAGAAAATATTTACTTAATGCAGGCGTACGGAATCTTTCTTCTGTCAAGGTTATTGATTGCCATCATTTTTTTCAAGATTTATTTTATTTATTTTTTATTGGAAAGGCGGATATACAGAGAGGAGAGACAGAGAGGAAGATCTTCCGTCCAATGATTCACTCCCCAAGTGAGTGCAACGGGCCGATACTATGCCGATCCGAAGCCAGGAGCCTCTTCCGGGTCTCCCACACGGGTGCAGGTTCCCAAGGCTTTGGGCCGTCCTCGACTGCTTTCCCGGGCCACAGGCAGGGAGCTGGAAGGGAAGCGGGGCTGCCAGGATTAGAACCGGTGCCTATATGGGATCCCGGGCGTGCAAGGTGAGGACCTTAACCACTGTGCCACCACGCCGGGCCCATAAGGATTTATTTTTACTTGAAAGAGTTAGAGGAAGAGACACAGAGCAAAAGAGCTCTTCCACCTGCTGGTTCATTCCACAATGGCAGGAATGTCCAAAGCTGAGCTAGTCTGAAGCTGGGAGTCAGGAGCCCAAGACTTGCACTGTTTTCCCAGGCCTAGCAGAGAGCTGGATTAGAGGTAGAGCAGCCAGGTCCAGAACTAGCTTCCACGATGGATCCAGTAGTGCCACAGGTAGAGGGTTATCCTGAAATCCACCGCACCAGCCTCCCCCCAGTTTGAATATTTACAATATCATTTACAGGCCACACAAAATAACTGACTTAAAAATTAGCCTGTTACAGATTCACTGAATTTGAAATCTGCCTGCAGATGCCTTGGCAGGACCAGACCAAATGATTCTGCTGGCCTCAGATGGCCTGTAGGCCAGACATTCTCCATCTGTGACTTAATTAATTAAATATTTATTTTTATTGGGAATGCAGATATACAGAGAAAAGCAGATAAAAAGACCCTCCATGCACTAATTCACTCTGCAAGTGCTTCTAATGGCCAGAGCCAAGCAGATCTGAAGTCAAGAGCCAAAACCTCCCCCAGGTCTCCCACACTGATATAGGGTCCCAAGGCAATGGGCCACCATCTACTGCCCTCCCAGGACACGAGCAGGGAGCTGGATAGGAAGCAGAGCAGCCATGAACCAGAGCCTACATGGGATCTTAGCACACGTAAAGTGAGGATTTAGCCATTAGGTTCTCACGCTGGGCCCTCCATCTGTGATTTAATGCTAAACAAAGTAGAAAAAAAGAACAGAGAAAAACCAGTCAGCAGACACAGAAAAGGAGAAGTCAGATGTCATGCAAGTGCAACTATAGCTATAACAGCAGTAAATCTCAGTGGATAAAAGCAGTCCAGGACCCAGTGCAACAGCCTAGTGGTTAAATCCTCACCTTGCATCTGCCAGGATTGAATATAGGCACCAGTTCGTATCTCAGCAGTTCCAGTTTCCACCCAGCTTGTGTCCTGGGAAAGCAGTAAAGGATAGCCCAAAGCCTTGGGACTCTGCACCCGCATAGGAGACACAAAAAAGCTCCTGTCGGATTAGCTTAGCTCCAACCATTGTGACCACCTGGGGAGTGAACCAGTGAACAGAAGATCTTTCTGTCTCTCCTTTCTGTATATCCGCCTTTCCAACAACAACAAAAAGTTGTTATTAAAAAAAAAAGAAGAAAAAAACAGCCTGCACCCAGCAAGGTGGCTTAGCGGCTAATGTCCTTGCCTTGCACATACTGGGATCCTATACGGCCGTCGGTTCTAATCCCAGCAGCCCCACTTCGCATCCAGCTCCCTGTGTGTGGCCTGGGAAACAGGCCTTGGGATCCTGCACCAGTGTGGGAGACCCAGAAGAAGTTCCTGGCTCCTGGCCTAGGACAGCTGTTGTAGCCACTTATGGAGTGAACCAGCAGATAGAAGATCTTTTGTATCTCCTCTCTGTAAATCTGACTTTCCAATAAAGATAAATAAATCATTAAAACACACACACACACATATATATATGTACCAATATAGAGAAACTATATGAAACAAAAACTGACAAAATAAATGGAAAAGCAGAGTTCAACAATAGTTGGAGACTTTAATATCTCACTTTCAATAATGAAAACTGGGCAGAAGATCAATGTGGAAACAAGACAGAACAACAGTATGATTAACTAATCTAAAAGATACTTCTAGAGTCCTCCAGGGGAAGGCTTTTGGCACAGTGGTTTAGTAATTCATATCCCATTCATTTTTTTTAAGATTTATTTATCTTTACTGTAAGAAGATTTTAGAGAAGAGACAGAAAGATCTTTCATCCACTGGTTTACTCTCCAAATGTTTGCAGCCCCCGTAGCTGTGTGGATACGAAGTCAGGAGACAGGAGCCTCTTCTGGGTCTCCCACGTGGGTGCATCCTCTATTGCTTTCCCAGACTATAAGCAGGGAGCTGGATGGGAAGTGGAGCAGCCAGGACACAAATAGGTGCCCCTATGGGATGTCACTCTTGCAGGGAGAGGATTAACTAATGGTGCCATGGTGATGGCCCAACCCACATCCGTTCTGCAGTTGTGAGTTCAAATACTACCTCTGCCTCCAATTCCAGCGAACTGCTCACGCACACCCTTGGAGGCAGTGGCTTGGCTACCTCCCTCATGGGAGATACTGGTGAGGTTCCAAGGCCCTGACTTCATCCTGGCTCAGCACTAGCTGTTGCTGGCACGTGGAGTGTGAGACAGCAGATGGAAGATCTGTCTCTTTGCCTCCCAAATAAGAAAGGAATGGAGCAGGGAAGAAAGAAAAAAGAAAAAAATCTTAAGCATGAGATTGTTCTGGACCTAAAGTTCATTTCTTTTTTTTTTTTCCTTTTACTGCAAAGTCAGATATATACAGAGAGGAGGAGAGACAGAGAAGAAGATCTTCCATCCAATGACCCAAGTGACTGCAACGGCTGGTGCTGCACCGATCCGAAGCCAGGAGCCCAGATCCTCTTCCAGGTCTCCCACGTGGGTGCAGGGTCCCAAGGCTTTGGGCCGTCCTCAACTGCCTTCCCAGGCCACGAGCAGGGAGCTGGATGGGAAGCAGGGCTGCCAGGACTAGAACCGGTGCCCATATGGGATCCCAGCACATTCAAGGCGAGGACTTTAGCCGCTAGGCCACAGCGCCAGGCCCTAAAGTTCATTTCTCTGTACTATTTTTAGTAACTACAAAAGTAAAGTCACTTAGAAATAAAACAGCTGCAAACATGATAATGAAGGAGTAGCATGTGGGGAGTTTTGGGATGATGGACGAAGCTGTTACGCAACTGGCTCTAGGGGCAGCTCCCGATACTGTGTATTAAGATTACACCAAGACAGGCAATTTTACTGTCAATTTTAGTGAGAAAATGGGAGGAAGGAGAGAAAAAAAAACTGGAAAAAAGCACATATACAATACTATAATAGAATTAAATATTAATTGCACTGTACTCAAAATATTATATGTGACAAATACCACTTACTGGGTTAAAAATAGAGCAAAATGTGGATGTTATATGCTCTATCTTTGGGGCACTCTTCTAAGACCTTGGCCAATGTTCACTTTTGTGGCTTTCGTTATAAAAACACTAGGTGTGTTGAAAACACTTTTTCAAGTTAAGTAATCCCAGGAGAAAACAAAAGCAACCCCTGAGACACAGTAGTAATTAGTTCAAGTGCCCTACTTCAGGGCTGCCACGGCCAGCGCCTTGTTGGCTTGCCGGGCCCTAAGCATGGGACAGGAGACAGATTAAAGAAACCTCTAAGTAAAGAGCCATCAGGTGTTATTTTTTGAACCTGTCATTGACACTGTCTCAACCCAGATGTTTCGAAGAATGGAACTTGCATTATTTTTAACATATTGTTTACCCAATACTATGTCAATTAATTCCATAATGTTGTATATTGATACTGAGGCCTTGTTGGGCTTTTAACTGACCGGATCTTTACTCTGTTAGCCCTATCTTCAGACTAGAGAAGGTCTCCCCAAGAGGCCACTGAACTTATCTGGACAATAAGACGCTGGACTTTATGCTAGATATGTGTTTGCAAGGAACGAATCTCAACTGAACTTGAACTGTGGTTATGCAACAAGGTGGAGGAATCCACCATGTGGGGAGGGGTATGGGAGGGGTGGGGGGAATCCCCAGTGCCTATAAAACTGTATCATATAATACAATGTTAACAACAATAAAAAAAAAAAAAGAGCCATCAGGTGTCTTCCCTGTCAACCTGATAAGTTCAGGCTTTTTCACAAGTCTTAGGCTATTTTTCTTTTATTCCATGAGTATCAACACAGTAACGCTATGAGCATTATTGAATAGAAACGTATCCAGGTAACACAGTAAGTCCTCTGCAACAGGCCCGGCACCTCCGAGGGCTGCAAAGGGGAGAGCCTCTATTTGTTACGCCATGCCATGAGCTCAGGACCCCACCTTACCTTCCGACTCATACTCGCTCGCTTTCTGTTTCAAGTCTTCCGTTACCAGCTGGACATCTCTGTCGCGGACCCTGTTGCGTTCTGCAAGGTGATACAAAACCTCTGTGGTCCGTGGGTTCACCTCATACTGTGGAATGGGATGATCTCCAAATATTTTTTTCAACCACGCAGCAATCTAACCGCAAAAAGGAAGAGAAATATCATTATTATTTTGGTACGCAGGGTTTCATAAAGTAATCCAGCACAAACTACATGCCATGCCTGCTGTGGCGTCCTACATCACATCCTAATTCGTCTTCAGGTAGACATCACACGTCAGGATATAAGCGCAGGTGTGAGAATCCTAGCAGCGCACAGCAGTGACGCGCTACCTGAGTCTGACAGGTGGGTTTCGGGGCTCAAGTCCCACTCCAGTCAGCTCCAAGGGATTTCGTGACTGCGGCTGCTCAAAAGCTCCCCAAGTCCGCGATCTCCAGCCGAGAGAGTCCGGGGAAGAAAGAGAAACTCCTTTTGGGGGGAGGGTCCCCAAGACACGGGAATCACCGATGGTGAAAGGCAGCACCAAAGATGGGCGTAGCGGGAAGGGGACAGAGAAGAAAGCCGCCGCGGCTGCGCTCGGGGGACGCGTCGACAGCAGCAGCAAGTCCCAGACGCGGTTTTCCGGGAGCCGCAAGAGCCTCCTCCCGCCCATCACCTGCGCCTCCTTCGTCTCCCGCGCCTCCATAGCCGTCGCTCCCGCCACTTCGCGCGGAACTCCTGGAGGAAGCGGCCCCGCCTACGCGCCGTTGGCCCGGCCCCTCGCCGCCCGGGGCTTTCTGGGAGTTGTGGTCCCGTTTTGCCTCCTCGCAGCCATCTGGACTCCACAGTATCATCTTAAGGAATGAGAAGTAAAGCTGCCTGTGGTTTATTTTTATTTCTAGCTTGAGTCACGTATCTTTAAGGAAAAAAGAACTTGAAATCTGGGGTATTGGTTAGCTCCTGGGGTCCGTGCAGTGGGTGTGGATGACACCAAGGTGTGAAGAGAACAGCTCCGCTGCATGGCAAGGCCTGGCAGATGTCTCCTCCAGCACTCCCTTTTGCATGGACACTCAACCACCCCACTAAGAATTCTGTAATCTATTGAGACATTGTTGCCCCTATGTGCAACCGATGTGAGCTTTAGAGTTAATGTTGCTGATAAGCTCTTGGTGAGTGGGCCTTTAACTACACACAGGAGTGCAATCAAGCCCATGCTGTTTCTGGACACCTTACTGTGTGCCTGCCATTGCCCTGGAATCTGGCCCAGACATGCAGCATGCCTTGTGGGAAATGGCTTGATAAGAATCATACAAATTAATGGAGGTGATGGGAGTATGAGCTGAAGCTGTTATGGCAAAAAATATAGTTACTGTGACCCTAAATGTTAGCCTGTCCTTGCCGCTTTTATCATTGTTTTGACTAGAGGAATTATAGGGTGATTTTACTAATATCATAGAGATATGCTTTTTATTATTGTTTGACTGTTTATGAGGTTGTAGAGCCTATAGTTGTAGGGGGATTTAATGTTTGAAACTTTCTGTCTTGGATCTTTATGCCTTTTCACTTTTGATGTGTTTCTCCCATTAAGTGATAGGTAAGTTACAGACACAGGAATGTAGTGAGAATGTTTTACTAATTAGTAGGTAACCATATATGCCTTGGCCTTGGAGTCCCAGCAGTTACCCAATGGCTACTACTGAAGAATGAATAATGGCTTGCTTTGAAGAAACTGATTATACTAAATTACAGAATCATCTTTAAGAGCACCTGTTTGGCCATGAAGTAAAAATTAATTAATCGAACATCTGTGCAAGCTAGCTTAGCTCTGAAGCTAAAGATAATAATAAAATGTGCAGAGGCTGGTGATGTGTCTGAGTAAATAAAAGGACAGCTTCTCGAGCTGTTACAAGAGGGCTCCAACTGACAGTGTCCGTGTCTTTTATTTTCACTGATTCCACACACCCTTCTGGATCTTCGAATGTGGCTGCAGCTGGCCTGCAGCAGTTAACCAATTTCTATCATATAGACTGCATCCAATTGACGTTTTCATTTTATTCTGGCAGTATGAAATACAGCAGCCTTAATCTTACCCACCAGCTCCCACTGCCAACAAGCTAAGTGTGTAGGAGGCTTTTTTTTTTCTTTGAGAAGACTTTTATACCCAAGAAACTCAACAGCATGCATTTACCTCAACCATGTGGTGAGTTGCTTAGCCCAGACCTTTTATGGCATAGCAATGCAGGCTACAGATTTTACAGCCAGAACATTGCCCCCGACAGCTGATCTTGTCACTACCTGTCATTATAGCTGGTCCTGATGTTTTCCACCAGCTCAGCTAGAGCATTCTGTCTTCTGCATCTGCCTGCCAGAAGGCTACAATGGACCAGACATTCCAGCTGGGCCTTTCCCTTGATGATGCATCAATGGAACCCTCATTTATGATCCAGGGCAGGCAAGAAGACAGCCAGCACAAAGGAGCCCATGTCGTAGGCAGTCAGCACCAGCCTGACCACCTGACTGCTCCAAAGTGGTGACCCCACTCAGTGGACAAGTGGGGTGGGGACATCCCATTGGCCAGAAACTTTCTTGTTGGTCTTGCCCAGTAGCCTCTGCCGTGTCCTCTCCGGTGTGGATATTTGGGCCAGCTCCAGTAGCTGAGTGGCTGGCCAGGGTTCTGGGGTCTGGATAGGCTGGCTAACCTCAAGAGGTTACCCCTTAGGATGGCTCTTGGGTGCTGCAGCCAGACACGGCAAGGTCATGTGAGAGAATGGATGAGGCTTTGGGGCTGTATATCCTGTCCAATGCCCAAATTCTCGGGCTGTTTCTCAGAGACTTTACCACTTCCTTGGCCTTCTGCTTGTTTTCCATAGGAGGAACTGAGGCCACCTTCTTCCTCTTGATCTTGCCTTTGGGCATCATGGGCAACTGAAAGAGAATACAGGCATCCATCCATTCATATCTTGCTTTCCCTAAAATTCCCTCCTTTGGGCCTGGTGCGACGGCCCAATTGGCTAATCCTCCACCAATTTGTGTCCTGGATGTTCCACTTCCCATCCAACTCCCTGCTTATGGTCTGGGAAAGTAGTGGAGGATGGAAGATGTCTTGAGACTCTGCACCCATATGGGAGACCTGGAAGAAACTCCTGGCTTTGGATCTGCTCCACTCGGGCGATTGTGGCCATTTGAGGAGTAAGCCAGTGGGTGGAAGATTTTTCTGTCTCTCATTCTCTTGGCCAGTCTGCCTTTCCAATGAAAATAAATACATGTTTTTTATAGCTAATATTTACCTAGTGCTTGTTATGTATTGCCAAAATAAATACATCTTTATAAAGTTTCCTCTAGCTACCAAAACTTTGTATGAGAAACTATACAACAGTGCACAAATTTCTCCTGCATTTTTGTTTCATTCTTGCAGGAACCTGGTGAGATTGTGAACATGACTCATTTTGCCCACTTTCCATTAAAATGTGCAAACTTGGATTCGATAGTTTGACCAAGCTTAGGTAGCAGAGCTAGTGTTCTGGCTTCAAGTGAGTGTTTCAGTTCACAAACTGCCACTAGTAACCTTTTATAGTTATTGTAGAAAAAAAGAAAAGAAAAAAAAAGAAGATAGCTCAAAGGATCATGTGCTCAAGCTTCTGTGAGGTTTAACAAGAAACTGGTCAGGCTTAGCACTGAATGTCTTTCGGTTAAATTAGATACTTGTTTAAAATGGTTAAGACTTTCTTTTCAAAGAATTCTTACTCTTAAAGATTTTTTTAAAAATATGTATTTATTTTTATTGCAAAGTCACATATACAGAGGGTATTCCATCTGATGAATCACTGCCCAAGTGACCACAACGGCCAGTGCTGCGCCAATCCGAAGCCAGGAGCCAGAAGCTGTTCTGGGTCTCCCACACTGGTGCAGGATCCCAAGGCTTTGGGCCGTCCTCAACTGCTTTCCCAGGCCACAAGCAGGGAGCTGGATGGGAAGCAGGGCTGCTGGGATTAGAACTGGCGCCCATATGGGATCGTGGCATGTTCAAGGCAAGGACTTTAGCCACTAGGCTACAGCGCTGGGCCCCAAGTTTTTTTTTTTTTTTTTTTATTGGAAGGTTGATTTACAGAGAGAAGGAGATTCAGAGAGAAAGATCTTCCATCCGCTGGTTCACCAAGTAGCTGCAATGGCCAGAGCTGAACCAATCTGAAACCAGGAGCCAGGTATTTCTTCTGGGTCTCCCAACCAGGTGCAGAGTCCTAAGATTTCAACCATCGTTTACTGCTTTCCCACGCTACAAGCAGGGAACTGGAATGGAAGTGGAGCAACTGTGACACAAGCCAGTGCCCATATGGGATTCCAATGTATACAAGATGAGGATTTAGCCACTAGGCTATCGTATCAGGCCCAAAGAATTCTTTTTTTAAGACATATTTATTTATTCATGACTTATTCATGATTTATTTTATTTTTATTGGAAAGGCAGATACATAGAGAGGAGAGACAAAGAGGAAGACCTTCCGTCTGATGATTACTCCCCAGATGACTGCAGTGGCTGGTGCTGCACTAATCCGAAGCTAGGAGCCAGGAATCTCCTCCAGGTCTCCCACATGGGTGCAGGGTCTCAAGGTATTGGGCCATCCTCAACTACTTTCCCAGGCCACATTCAGGGAGCTGGAGCTGGAGCGGAAGTAGAGCTGCCTGGATTAGAACCAGCACTCATATGGGATCCCAGTGAGTTCAAGGCAAGGACTTTAGCCACTAGGTCAGCGCGCTGAGCCCTATTCATGACTTATTTATTTTTATTGGAAAGGTAAAATCACAGAGAAAAGGAGAGACAGAAATATGTTCTACCCATTGATCCACTCCCTTAATAGCTACAATGATCTGAGTTGAGCCGTGCCAAAGGTAGCAGCCAGGAGCTTTTTCATGTCTCCCATGCAGCTGCAGGTTCCCAAGGTCATCCTCCACTGCTTTTCTTATGCCTAAGTAGGAAGTGCAGCAGCCTGGACCTGAATTAGTGCCCATATGGGATCCTGACACTTTAAGGTGAGGAGTTAGCCATTGGAAGGATTCTTTTAAAAAATTTATTACTTTGAAAAATAGAGAAATAGAAATATCTTACAGGTTCTGATTCATTTTCCAATAGCCACAAACTGCTGGATAGGAATCAGGCCGTAGCCAGGAGTCTGGAATCCCATCCAGGTCTCCCAAGTGAGTGACAGGGTCCCCAGTTCTTAGACCAACATCTGCTACTGTCCCAGTCAGGACCTCATGGGAAAGAGAACATCTGTGCTCAATGGCACTATTCTACAGGATGCCTCTCATGCAGTGGTTTTCCTGGTCTGCATCTCAACACCAGCCCATCTTCAAAGGATTCTGATGAGCTAATCAATAGTATGTTTTATGGCTTCTTTACTATTTTGTTTCAAGAGCATCTTGCCTCAGTGAAAAAAAAAATTCAGATAAATTTGTGCAGCCTTTGGGTATGGGAAAAAAAATCTTTGTCCATTTTCAACACAATATGGCTTATATAATTTTGTTTTCTTTACAAACCATATACATTTTTTTTTCTGTTAGCCTAGCTGTACCCTGGATTCCCTGGAGGACTGCCATATTGACTCACCGTTCACCTTGAAAAGTAGGATGTCTGAGAAGGGGATTGCTGACCATGCACTTGCCAGCAAGCTGCAGGAGGCAATTCTCTCAGCCCAGAGGGTTTTGGTTGAAAGCCAAGATTTGATATCTAGAATTCAAAGATGCTCTTTGGAACAGCTACATGTGAAGGCAGTAGTAATAATTTCCCCATCACAAAATCCAGAGTCTGTCTCTCTCCTACACACACACACACACACACACACACACACACACACACACATTCACACACAGTGCATATGAAAAAACCTCAACTGTTATAATAAAAATTGTGTGGAGAGAAAGAATCCTCCTTACATATTTTTTTTTTTTAATAGGTATAGAAAGCACTCCACAAGAAAAAGCAAGAATCCCCCATGTTGTAAAAATAATAGCCAGCTGAGGACAATTCAAGCCCTAGTCTGGCCTGGAGTGACATCTCTAATTCTGGATCATTCTCCATTGGACTGGCAAACATTCAGACTCCCTGACAACCTGGTCAGATTCACACACAGATCTTTTTGAGTTATAATTGAAAGGGCTGTTATTCTCTAACTTGGCTGTATATCAGGTTAGGGAGAACTCTGTGTCAGAAATTCAGTACTGGCCTGGGGTCAGCGACCGGCGGGGTGGCTGCTCCCTAGGGCTAACCCGGCGGGCGTGCAGGTGACTGTCCCCTATACTGTTGACTGCCGCTACAACACAATCTCTGAACGTCGCCAACACTCCGAACCCCTCAAGGGCCAGTCAGCACCCGGGGTGACGCCCACGTCGCCTAGCACCGGTCGCTAATCACGTGGTCGCCAGGGCACCATCAAGGTCGACCGGAAAGACTGAAATATATATATATAACCAATTTCGCAGCCGAAGCTGGCAAAGGTGTAATCATTCATTGTGAGGTTTAAACTGAAAAATAATACTTAACAACGAATAAAATCACATCCAAACACCGAGACCGGATTCGCGTCCGGTGGTGAAGAGCGGAGGGCTGTCCTTCCGGGTCAGTTGGGCCGGCCGCCTTGACCTTCCTAGCTGCACGGCCATTTTGTCCCAGTCAGTCGGAGGCTGCGGCTGCGGAGGAGCCACCCGAGGAGGAGCTGCCAAGATGCTGTCTGTTCGCGTAGCCGCGGCCGTGGCCCGCGCCCTCCCACGGCGGGCCGGGCTGGTGAGCACCAGGGGCCGGCCGGGGAGGCGGCTCGGCGGGGCTGCGGCGTGCAGGGCTGCGCCGTCCCGGAGCTCGTTCTGCAGGGAGGGCGAGGGGCTGTGGCGGGCGCCGCCATCTTGCTCCGGTGGCTGCTGGGGCTGGGCCGAACGGGGTGCAGGGGAGCCCCGAGACCGGGCCCCGCCAGCGGAGCCGTGCTGAGAGGTGCCAGGGAGCCCGTGCCCTGGACGCGGGTATAGGGCATGACCTCGGGCTCGGGCGCCCGGGAAGGGGCCTCGGGTGAAGGTCAGGGCCGGGGCGCTGCAGGGCCTGCTTGTGCAGTGCGGGGGCTCGGCCCCGCTCAAGGTCAGTGGACTTGCTGTGTGCTGTGCTTGAAGCGAGCCAGGGCGGCTGACATTGGACGAAGGTCAGCCGGTCCGGGCGTCTCACCTGTGCTGGGAGACCAGTCCCGGGCCACGGAGTGGAGGCAGGTGTTTTTTTTTTTTGACAAGTACAGCAGGAGGTCTCGTAGTGTCGTGTACTCTGCGGTGGTGAAAACAGCCCCGGCACGCGGAGAATTGTGTCATGTGGCCGATGTCGCTCCTCTGGGCGGTGCTGTGACACTTCCAAAGCGGTCGCCCTTGGGGTTGTCCGGCTGGGGTTTTGAGGACATGTTAGTGATGGAAAATCTTAAGTAACATACCATGTAAGGTTGGGCGAAAAAAGTCCCTGTAGGGCTCATCTCTCTTGCTAATGCGAACATATCGTGTAGATCCATGTAAATGCATTTGCATTTGCTGAATTTGTCTGGAAAGTAGCTCGTATCTGACAGGTGAAGGAAACGTAATGGCTGTTTTGCTGCTCTAACACGAGGGCGCTTGGCAGAAATGGCGTTCTTAGCAGTTTTTACCTGGCTGCTGTACAGGCTAGTGGAACCAGTCACAGTCACAGCCAGGCGGCTTGGCGGAAGGAGAACCAGGTTGTTGCGGGGTTCAGGGGTTGAAGGCCCTGAGCAAAAACCTGCATGCCTGCATTGTCGTCTTTCCACCCTAACCTAAATGTTAGCGTTTACCCTTTCAGTAAGAAACCGTTCATGTTATTGAGAATTTTTGCAACACGGGTGGCATTAACCTCAAAGTAACTGGATCTGAATGAAGAGAAGAAACTTCGATGCTAACTGTTTCTTAAAATAGACTACAGGTCCGTGTTGTGCACTAAGAACTGCACAATGCACAATGGTCCTCAGATTTTCGGCAAGAGTGTTTTAAATCTGCTCCTTCGCTTAACCAGTAGTGTACTCAAAGCAAGTGTGCCTTTGTGTGGATCTAAGATTGGAGCTTTAAGCCTAACCTTTCAATAGGTTTCCAAAAATGCTCTGGGCTCATCGTTCGTCGCAGCCAGGAACCTGCACGCCTCCAACACACGGCTCCAGAAGACTGGTGAGTTCCTCAGTGTGCACCACCTGACTGTGTGACCACTACCTGGTCAGGGCACGTGGGGACGGGGTTCTTCTTATTTTTAGTTACTAGAGAGCTTGGCTTCTAAACTGTAAAGTGCCATTTAACGTCTGTTGGTTGGTTCTTTTATCGAGCTTTTGCAATATTTATATCGTTTTTGTTTTTGATATTAGCATGGCTTTTAAAAATGCCCCTTGGATCAAAGCAAAATATTGTTTCTAATTTAGATAAGATTTATTTTTAAAAGATTTTGTTTTCATTTGAAAGGCAGATTTGCAGAGAGGAGAGGCACAGAGAGATCTTCCATCCATCTGCTAGGTCATTCCCCAGACAGCTGAAAGAAGCCTACAGCTCCTTTTGGGTTTCCCACGCTTGTGCAGGGTCCCAAGGACTTGAGCCATCCTCTGCTGCCTTCCCAGGCCATATGCAGGGAGCTGGATGGGAAGGGGAGCAGGTGACATATTAAGGGGCTTCCCTATGACATGCCAACACCACACGTAGAGGATCAGCTTGCCGTGTTCCTGCGCAGGCACCCTGAAAGATTTACATTTTTCCCCTCATTTAAGAGCTGTTAGGAAAAAAAGCAAGTGATTCTGTCAGCAGGTTTTTTTCATAGGCAGCAGCTGCTACTCTACATCTGATAGTCTGTGCCTGTCTGTTTCGCACACCATGGAGGAGTTGGGAGTTTAAACCATCACCTGCTAGGAAAAGGAATGGCACTGCCATGTGGGACCCAAGGGGTCGTGACCCCTAGGCCGAACTGCCCGCAGACAGCAGGTATTGAAAAGACCTTCTGCTCATTTCGAACTGACTTGTCCCTTTTTTTAACAGGCACTGCTGAAATGTCCTCTATTCTTGAAGAGCGAATTCTTGGAGCCGATACCTCCGTTGACCTTGAGGAGACTGGGCGGGTCTTAAGTATTGGTGATGGTATTGCCCGCGTGCACGGGCTCAGGAATGTCCAAGCAGAAGAGATGGTGGAGTTCTCTTCTGGCTTAAAGGTAATTTCTGAAATGAGATTTGGATGTTCTAGTGTTAATGCTTCTCTGTTATAGCATTTACAGATCAATATCATATCAGACTTTTTAAGACTTTGTCTCAATTTTTCTTTTTCTTTTTTTACTGTATCATTTACAGTCAAGATCATATATTCTGGTTTTTTTTTTTCTCCTCCTTGACTGTATCATAGATTATAAAAAGGAGAAACTAAAATATTTTCATTAGGCAGATTGGCTGTACTGTAGGAATTGGTTAAGAAGTAATTTGTAGGGCCCGGTGGCGTGGCCTAGCAACTAAAGTCCTAGCCTTGAACATGCTGGCCCATATGGGCGCCAGTTCTAATCCTGGCAACTCCACTTTCCATCCAGCTCCCTGCTTGTGGCCTGGGAAAGCAGTCAAGGACAGTCCAGAGCACCGGGAACCTGCTTCCACGTGGGAGACCCAGAAGAGGCTCCTGGCTCTTGGCTTTAGATCAGTGCAGCACTGGTTGCTGTGGCCATTATGGTCGCTTGGGGAGTGAATCAGCAGATAGAAGATCTTCCTCTGTCTCTCCTCCTCGCTCTATATCTGACCTTCTAATAAAAAAAAAATCTCTGAAAGGAAGAAAAGTCTTATTGCTGCACATCTTATCCAGCTTCCCACTGATGCATCCTGGGAGGCAGGATGCTCTGCTCAAGAGCGTGGGCTTCCACAGTTGATGTGGGAAGACCCAGTTAGACTAATGGAATCCTGGCTTTGGCTGGCCCAGTGCTGGCTGTGGTGGGCATTTGGGGAATGAACCAGTAGATGAAAGATAGTCTTCCTCCCTCCCTGTTTCTGTTCTTTGCTTTATGTTTCAAATAGGTGAATTTAGATTAGCTTATAAACAGTCTTCATGAAAGGAGGTTGGTTGTTGGACAACTGCTCTAGGGGAAACTTGATGAGAAAGATGGTGTGTTGCCCTGTTTCCTGGCATGTCTTGGTGTCCGAGGGCGAGTGCCTCCAACCTGGTGGATGTTTGGTTTTCTTTCGTCCAGGGTATGTCTCTGAACTTGGAGCCTGACAATGTTGGTGTTGTGGTGTTTGGAAATGATAAGCTCATTAAGGAAGGAGACATTGTGAAGAGGACGGGTGCCATCGTGGATGTTCCGGTTGGTGAGGAGCTGTTGGGGCGTGTGGTGGATGCCCTTGGAAATGCCATCGATGGAAAGGTAGGCGTGCTGCTGAGTGGGTGTGGGCACAGCTCCCAACGCACACAGAAGCTGGAGTATCTAAGCGTGATGTTTTCTTGTCTCCTGTGCAGGGCCCAATTGGCTCCAAGACTCGCAGGCGAGTGGGCCTGAAAGCCCCTGGAATCATTCCTCGAATCTCGGTGCGGGAACCAATGCAGACTGGCATTAAGGCCGTGGACAGCTTGGTGCCAATTGGTCGTGGCCAGCGTGAGCTGATTATTGGTGACAGACAGACCGGGTAAAAACTCAACACATATTAGAAAATTGTAACTGAAATTTGCTCTTTGGCAAGATTACTGTTTAATGTGCCAGTGGTAAAGAACAGTGGCTGTAATGGGGATATAGCATTTGAGAGGGGGATTGATAGTGAAGTTTTAGTTGGTAAATCCTGTAAACTAGTAAGATTTCTGGATACTTTCTCTTGATAGGAAAACATCCATTGCTATCGACACAATTATTAACCAGAAGCGTTTCAATGACGGTTCTGATGAGAAGAAGAAGCTGTACTGCATCTACGTGGCTATTGGCCAGAAGAGGTCCACCGTTGCCCAGCTGGTGAAGAGGCTGACCGATGCAGGTATTCGTCATCTGAAAAGATCACCTTAATGAAAGCTGAGCTTTCTCAGTCAACAGGCACTGTAAAACGGGAAAGGGTTTATTGGTTTGTTTAAAGTGGAAACTATTTGACTACTTAATTCTTAATTTTTTTTAACGCTTAAAATAACGCTTTTATTTATCATAGTAATCTCACATTTGAAAACACGATGTTGATGACCTTCTAAAATTCATTTTCTCTTCAGATGCCATGAAGTACACCATTGTGGTGTCGGCCACTGCGTCTGATGCTGCCCCACTTCAGTACCTGGCTCCCTACTCTGGCTGTTCTATGGGAGAGTACTTTAGAGACAACGGCAAGCATGCTTTGATCATCTATGATGACTTATCCAAACAGGTCAAAAAAATAGATGCTTTGTAGTTTGCATGTTTCAGCTGCAGTTGTAATTGACAAAAGCGGCTTACATGTAGCAGGTGAATTTGACAACACTGTCCTGTGCCACAGGCTGTCGCTTACCGCCAGATGTCGCTGTTGCTGCGCCGGCCCCCTGGTCGTGAGGCCTACCCGGGTGACGTCTTCTACCTGCACTCCCGGCTGCTGGAGAGAGCAGCCAAAATGAACGATTCTTTTGGTGGTGGCTCCTTGACTGCCTTGCCAGTCATAGAAACACAGGCTGGGGATGTGTCTGCTTACATTCCGACTAATGTCATTTCCATCACTGATGGACAGGTATTACTTCAATGGTTAAAATGTAAAAAAATCGTTTCTAGGAATTGGTTGAGACTTGTGATTATGTGCAGATTTGTCAGATACTTTTCATTTGTTTTTAGTTGAAAGGCAGAATTAGAGGGACAGATCTATCCAAAGTTCATTCTCAAATTGCTGCAATGGCCAGAGCTGGATTTTTTTTAAGATTTACTTATTTTTATTGCAAGGTCAGATATACAGAGAAAAGGAGAGACAGAGAGGAAGATTCTCCATCAGCTGGTTCGCTCCCCAAGTGGCCACCACATCCGGAGCTGAGCCAATACCAATCCAGGGACCAGGAGCTTCTTATGGGTTTCCCTCTTGGGTGCAGTGTCCCTAGGTTTTGGGCCATCCTCACCTGCTTTCCAGGACCACAAACAGGGAGCTGGATGGGAGATGAAGCAGTCAGGACACAACTGGCGCCCAGATGGGATGTATGTAAGATGAGAATTCAGCTGCTGAGTCACTGCACCAGGCCCAAAACTAGTTACTTTTGATATATTTTCATTTGTGTCTGGTCATGCTGAAGCCAGGAACATAATTCAGGGTTCCAGTGTTGTGGCAAGGAGGACCCAAGTAGTGCTGTGTCCCATGGTGTGCATCATAGGAAGCTGGGCTTGGAAGTGGAGCGGGGCTTGGACCCCGGTACTCAGGATGCAAGCATGCTGAGTGGTGGCTTAACTACTGTGCCAACCACCTGCCTGCCTAGTGGGAAATTTCACATGTATATAAAAGAAATAAATAATGAGCCCCCCCCCATACCTGTTACCCAGTTAGCATTTCATGCTTCGTTCTGGGTAGATTTATACTCGCTACCATTCTAGATAATTTTGACGCCTATGTCAGAAGTCATATTCACTTGCATGTATTGCAGTGTTAACCTATTTTCCTCTATTCATAACGTACCTACTAATGCTAGGCAGAGTATATGAGCTGGTTGAGTTGCATAGATTTAAAGGAGCTCTGTCTTTCTGCCCATCAAATTAAAAATGGTTCTTAAGGAGCTGTACCTAGAGTCCGCTGGCTGAACCGCCGTGTTCCACATAGTGGCACCTCAGTTGATGCCCAGTCTTGGCTCCTGACAGTGGAAATCCTAGGGCACAGTAGTGATGGGTTTCTTACTGCGTGGGAAACCTAGTTCTCTCCTTTGGCCCATCCACTGCTGTTTGAGGAAACAGCTGTTCAGAGCTCTCTCTAAATCTTTTTTTTTCTCTACATTGTGGGGACAGAAAAGATTTGGGTGACTATCATTAGAAGGTACTTACAGTTCTTCCTTACTCAGTTTTTGATATAGTGACTTAAATTGGAAACGAATTTGCGTTAAACTTACTAGCGCATGTATTCACATTGTAGATCTTCTTGGAAACAGAATTGTTCTACAAAGGCATCCGCCCTGCCATTAATGTGGGTTTGTCTGTGTCCCGTGTCGGATCTGCTGCCCAAACCAGGGCCATGAAACAGGTAATTATAGACCCCTTTGACAGGGAGTTGGGTAGCGTGGGACTACAACCTTGATCTCTCAACTGTGTTTGAATGGTGCCGTGTGTCACAGAGTGAGAATCCCACGGTCCTCCATGTTTCAGGTGGCAGGCACCATGAAGCTGGAACTGGCGCAGTATCGTGAGGTCGCAGCTTTTGCGCAGTTTGGTTCCGACCTGGATGCTGCCACGCAGCAGCTCCTGAGCCGCGGAGTGCGCCTGACCGAGCTGCTGAAGCAAGGACAGTATTGTGAGTTCTCTGTTGGTGTGATGAAGTTCCTTAGGTGGGCTGGCTGTCCTTGGCCTGTAAAGCTGCATTCCGTAGCCCAGGCCGTACCATGGGCTGTGACCCTTTCTCAAGTGCACCTGCTGCCTTTTGGATGCACTTTACTGAAAGTAGGGTGATGAATATAGATGTTAGGAATCAGCTGGAAGATTTATTACATAGGTAACCTTGCTTTTAAGAAATAAAAATTTCCAAGATTCCCTACCCTTTATATGAATGTTGCATTTGCATGATTTAAGTAAATTTTACTATGTTTTTGCCAAAAATGGCAGTGAGTTATTTGTAATCAAATGCTTAAACATTCTAATATGAATATACTGAATTTACACTTCCTTTTTGTGGGAATGAGGTGGGAAGGAGTGGCCAGTAGTGTTCTGGAGTGCCCAGGATGTGAAAGGGCGTGGTTATGAGATCATGGCAACGGGTGGAAGGAAAAGTCAGTTTTTCCAAATGCGGTGATTGTGGTGACATGGTGGACGTGCAGCTCACTGGACTCTCTCCTTGCCCAGCTCCCATGGCCATTGAAGAGCAGGTGGCTGTTATCTACGCGGGCGTGAGGGGGTATCTTGATAAATTGGAGCCCAGCAAGATCACGAAATTTGAGAATGCTTTCTTGTCGCATGTTGTCAGCCAGCACCAGGCCCTGTTGGGCAACATCAGGTATGGACGCAGGCGACGGCCTCTTTGTCCACAGACAGTTGACTTTGGGGATGTGTTTTTGTTTGTTTGTTTGTTTGTTTGTTTCTGTAGCTGGGCTAGCTGTGATATTTTCTCTGGGTCAGAACTCATCATCTGCTTTTATCTCCAAATAGAGCTGATGGGAAGATCTCGGAAGAATCGGATGCAAAGCTGAAGGAGATTGTAACAAATTTCTTGGCTGGATTTGAAGCTTAAACTCCTGGATTCACATCAAATACTGGTTTGGTTTTATTATTGGTTCTTCTAGTAAAATTAATTCCATTTGTAAATGGATTGCTCTCCTCCTCATGTACAGAAATCACATTAAGAATAAAGATTCCATGTGGCGTGGTGACTTCTCTTGTGTTGCTTATAACAACTTAAGTTATGTTCAAGGAGGGTAAATGCACTTCTAAACCCGTTTGACTTGAGCATTGGGTAGGGCCACTTAATTCAAGGGTGTGCTGTGGCAGGAGTCTGCAGTCCTTGAAGGGCAGAGACAGAAATACTCAGCCCACTGCTTCACTCCCCAGATGCCCACAGGGGGCTGAGCCAGACTAGAGCTGGGGGCCAGACGTTCAATCCCAGATGGGTGTGGGAGACTGAGCTTGAACCATCACCACTACCCAGGCATTCCTGTATGGAATGTGAGCTAACTGCTGCCCTCTTTTCTATATTTAGATACACTAATTGCCATTGTTTTACAACTGCCTGGTGTTTGGCATAGTAACACAGTGTACAGGTTTACAAAGTAGAGGCAGTAGGCTAAAATGAAGCCGTGTTGGCATTAGGTGTAATCTGGAAATATAGGGAGTATAGTGGGCATGGGTTATTTTTGCCACCCGCCAGCCCTGTATCCTTTTGGTGAAGAGATTCCGTGTTTCACCTGGGAGACCCTCCTGGCCCTGCTCAGTCCGTGTGCTTCTGGATGCTGTGTCCTGGGCTGAAGCCAAGCAGCAGGTCCTGTGCCCCTGGCCCTGAAGAGATGTGGCATGTCAGTGCTGGACTCAGGTGTGGCCCGTATCCCAGGCAAGGTTCCGTTTCTGGAGGGCGAGTTCCTGGAGCTCCACGTGGAGCCTGAGGAGGAGGACGGTGCAGCTGCTGTGGAGCCGACAGGCAGAGAAGCACACAGGTGCTGGTGACCTGCGGCAGCCCTGAGTCCCAGTGCAGGAAACCACTGATGGCTGGGGTCTTTGAGTTAGGTGAGCTAATGACTGCTTTTGGTTTAAATGGATTCGAGTTGAGTTTTGTGTCTTGCAACAGAAAGGATCTAACCAGTCCTGGGACTGGTGCAGTCCCCAGATTGTGTAGGTCACAGAGTTTGTAAGTAATTAGTCCAGCGCCCCAGCATGTCAGAAGTATAGGTTCTGCCTAAAGTGAAATGTGGATACCTAGTGGATGGGATAACCCTGTGTAGATGAATGCTCCTGGCAGGGAGGGGACCCAGCAGGGCCCGATATCTGAAAGGATTTTTCTTTTTTTGTAATTGAAATGTTACTTTGAAACTGACTGTCCTGGATGGCCAAGGACCTCTCACTAAATGATTACTTGTTTACCTCCCTAGAACAGTTATAAACACTGTAGTTGTAAAGTGGTGATTTTATAATTTTTTCCTACTTTAAAAAATACATAAAAAAAAAAATACTAAAGGGCCCGGCGGCTTGGCCTAGTGGCTGAAGTCCTCATCTTGAATCTGCTGGGATCCCATATGGGCGCCGGTTCTAATCCCGGCAGCTCCACTTCCCATCCAGCTCCCTGCTTGTGGCCTGGGAAAGCAGTCGAGGACAGCCCAATGCTTTGGGACCCTGCACCCATGTGGGAGACTTGGAGTTTCCTGGCTCCGGATTGGCACGGCATCCGCTCACTTTGGGAGTGAATCATCGGACAGAAGATCTTCCTCTCTGTTTCTCCTCCTCTCTGTGTATTTGACTTTGTAATAAAAATAAATAAATCTTAAAAAATATTTGGGAGAGTTATAGAAGGTTCTTCTGCTGGTTGACTTCCCAAATGGCTGTAGTAACTGGAGCTAGGTTATCAAAGCCAGGAGCCGGGAGCTTCTTCCAGCTCTTGTGCGCAGGGAGCCAAGGTCTTGGGCCATTCCCTGCTGCTTTCCTAGGCACTTTAGCAGGGAGCTGCATCAGAAGTAGAGCAGCTGGTAATTAAACTGATTGTCTTACAGAATACTGGCACTGCAGGCTGAGGATTGGTTGGCCATGCCACCGTGCTGGCCCTTCTACATTTTTATTTTTGAGGATTGTTTAGAAAGCATAGAGAACGAGAAGAAAAGAGCTCCCTGTGTCTGGGGATTAACTCCTTCAAGGATTTGACCGGAGCTGGGCCCAGCGGAAGCCAGAAGCTCAAGCCCTTGGGAAGTTTCTCGCTGCTTTCCCAGGTGGGGAACTCGCAAGTGGAGCAGGTGACTGGCTCTCATCTGGCATGCTGGTGTTGGCATGTGGCAGCTCACAGTGCTAGCATTTTCTACCTGGCATTCACTCAGAAGAGCTTGCTTTTTCATGCAGTTGACAACTTCTGCAGAATAGGTTAGATTTTGACAGAATGAAGATCAAGGGCATTAAGGGTAAACTTAGCCACGTACACAAAACAAGAGCTTGGTGGAAGTAGTGACTTCACCTTCTTGCAACATGTGGTTTGCATGACAGTGCTGTGGTTTGTGGGTTTTGGTCTTGTCTCGAGAGACTTCATCATACTAAAACATTTGCAATCTCAGACATGAGTTGAAGATGAATAGGATGCAGTCATCAAATTATTGCTTTGGAAAATAAAAGGCAGTTCTGTGGCAGATTAGAAACCAATAGAAAGTTCTTGCGGAGGGCTAGTAGGAAGTAAACAAAGGTGTGAGGGACAGTGAAGAGGGGAGCAGTTACAGAATGGGAATTACAGAATGCCAAACCTGTCAAGTCTTCCATTCAGGTTAACCAGAGAAGTGAGGGGAAATGTGGAAGTTTGTGACCACTTTGCTCCCAGTCATGCCTCGTGCTTCTCGAACATTCCACTTGCGCAGCCAGGGATGTCTTCCAGAGGTTTGTGAGAGGACCCCGGGTTTAATGAGTAGAATCCATGCAGTCTGGTTTTCCGCCGGAAAGCAGTCCAGGCCAGCAGTGAGTAAACCAGCAGATGGAGGGGCTCTGTCTCTCCTTCACTCTAGATCTGAATTTCCAATAAAAAACAAATAGATCTTTTTAAAAAATTAGAAAAGAAAAACATGGAGCAGAAGTCAGACATTCCTAAGAGCTACTTCGTGTGATGAGATGACAGGTTGTGGGGATTGAAGCGAGAAGGCACTGCGGGCTGGAGAAGTGAGGCCTGAGCTCCCACAGCCTGTGCATCCTGGACAGAGGTGGCCGGAGGGGTTGAGATTGAAGAGGACACATGGGATGCCCACGGTCTGAAAGGCCAGGCAGGAGGCACTGAGCTTCCCCTGGGCAACAGGGCCACTTGGGAGCTTTGCAACGAGGAACAGACATGAAGAGAGAGTTTGAGGGGTCCTCCAGCATGTCATACGGGTGCTGATCTGTATTCCAACTGCTCCACTTCCCATCCAGGTCCCTGCCTATGGCCTGGGAAGCCTCGGAGGATGGCCCAAGTCTTTGGGGGCCTGCAAGCGTGTGGGAGATCCAGAAGAAGCTCCTGGCTCCCAGCTTTAGATCAACTCAGCTGTGGCCATTGCAGCCATTTGGGGAGTGAACCAGCAGATGGAAGGCCTGTATCTCATTTTCTCTAATCTGCCAAGTACCTTTCGAATTAAACACAAAAACAAATAACAGAGCTTAAGGATAAAAGAGTGACCAGATTGTTAGTATAGGGGAGAAGTAACAACTGTAGCTTTTCAAAATTATTTTTTTCTTATTGGAAAGGCAGATATACAGAGAAGAGGAGAGACAGCAAGATCCTACATCTACTGGTTCACTCCCCAAGTGGCCACAATGGCCAGAGCTGACCTGATCCCAAAGCCAGGAACTGGGAGCTTCCAGGTTTCCCAGGTGGGTGCAGGGTCCCAAGGCTTTGGGCTGTCCTCAACTGTTTTCCCAGGCCACAAGCAGGGAGCTGGATGGGAAGTGGGGGCCCATAGGGCATCCTGGCACTTGCAAGGTGAGGACTTCAGCTACTAGGCAACCGTGTTGGGCTTGTGAGTGTAGTTTTCTAACCAATGAAAATTATGAAGATTTGGGAAGGGCAGTTGGCATTTGTTCCTGTTATTCACCATGTCTGGGCATTTGGTGAAAACGGTTTTTATTTCTACTCCCATCCCTGACCTCTGAGTGCTTCTGGGGGTGTCATATCTGTAGGCATGGAGCAATGTCCTGGCCTGAATCCAACTGGTATGCCCTGAGCCCTTGGCCCTGGAGAGATGTGAATAAGATACTGCTGGGTTAAGGTATGGTCCCAACACTGGTGAGGAGGTTCTCTTTGTTTTCCTGCGGCATAAGTGCCTCCACCCTTCATGTTTGTTGCACCCACCTTCTTCCTGACCTTAACGGGAGACCTCCCTACCCAAACTGGAGACCCATATGAGGATGCATCCCTCTCAATTGTGTAAACAATATATTTTTAAAAGTAATATTAACTTTTAGGGTCTGGTGCGGTAGCCTGGTGGTTAAAGTCCCCCCCTTGAATGTGCCATGACCTCATATGGATGCTGGTTCTAATCCTGGCAGCCATGCTTCCCATCCAGCTCCCTGCTTGTGGTCTGGGAAGGTGGTCGAGGATGGCTCACAGTCTTGGGACCATGTACCCACATAGGAGACCCGGAAGAGGCTCCAGGCTCCTGGCTTCGGATTGGCTGAACTCCAGCCATTGCGGCCGCTTGGGGAATGAATCATCAGACAGAGGATCTTCCTCTCTCTCTCTCTCCTCCTCTCTGTGTGTCTGACTTTGCAATATAAATAAATAAATCTTCTTCTTTTTAAAAGTAATATAAACTTTTAAAAAGGAGACAACAGCCCAGCCAGGACAAAGCCCCAAAGGTGGAGAATGTGCTAGTCTCAGTGACAGTTCAAGCTGCGAATCCTGCAGAGCGAGAAGCCAGTGCTCACCAGGACTTAGAGCTGTGTGAACTAAGAACTCTGCTTCCTTCTTTGGAAAGAAAGAGTGACACAGAATTCTTGCACCCACTAGTTCATTTCCCAAATGGCTACGACAGCCAAGTCTGGCCCCAGCCAAAGCCAGATCTCCTACATGGGTGGCAGAGACCCAAGCACTTGGGGCATCGTCCGCTGCCTTCTCAGGCACGTTAACAGTTGGATCGGGAGCAGAGTAGCTGGGACTGCACTTGGAGTATTGCTGGCCGCAGTTAACTGATGGCTTGGAACTAGGAGATTGGATGGCCTTTAAGTTCTTCCATGTCATGTCTGTTTTCCTAATCATTTATTTCATCATTGCTGTGGCAGTAGGATTAGCCGTCTAGTAGGATGTAGGCTTGTTAGTAAAATACCCCCAATTACTTACAGTACATCTTTCCTGTCTTTTTTTGAACACAAAGCTTACCTTGTGTTTTCTGGCCTTGTGGACAACCTCTTGCATTTTGAAGCTTTGCCACTAGAGGGTGAAAGAGTTAAAAATACAGGAATCCTTGTTCTGAGTCACAGAAATCAGGCACCTGGTCACATGAAGGCTGGTAACGCTTTCTTAGACTTTAACATGCATTACGAATTTAAATGAAAGGGCCCGACGTGGTAACCTAGTGACTAAAGGCCTCACCTTGCACGTACCGGGATCCCATATGGGTGCCGGTTCTAATCCTGGCGGCCCCCTTTCCATCCAGCTCCCTGCTTGTGGCCTGGGAAAGCAGTGGGAAGATCTTCCTGTCTCTGTCTTTCCTCCTCTCTGTATATCTGACTTTCCAATAAAAAAAAAATCAATGAAATAAATTTTAATTGTGTCTAAAGTATCTGTCCCTAAATATTTTAAAGGTTTTAGGAAACAGACACTTTGGTCCAGTCTGGTGCTCCTCTCCTTGTTTAGGGTCCTGTTTTAGGGCCTCTCCCTAGGGTGCTCCCCGTGACCTGGGCTGTCCTGACGCTCCCTTCCCTCTGCCCTCACCACTTTCAAAGGCTTTGAGCAGTTGGATGGAGACATCTGCGCCCCTGGGAGCCCGGGCTGGAGGCCAGCTCTCTTATCTTCATGGTTGGGATGAGAGTGAGCCAAGTACTAAGGGGCAGAATCTTTTAGAAGTTTCCAGATCACCTCTGTTAACACCCAGCCACGCTTCTGGATCTATCTGGAACCTGCTCCGGGGGCACATTCATGCCTTCCAGGGCCTGGGACTTGGGCTGGCCATGACCCCAGGCTTAGTCGGGACCATCCTCACTTTCCCCTCCGGAGAGTCCACCTGGCCCCCGTGGGCCCAGGAGGAGGCCCACCTTCGGCAGCACGGGCCTCTAACCACCTGGCCTCTCTGGGTCTCTGCAGCACCGGACACGGTCTATTCTCCAACTTCGCACTGCAGAGACCGTGGCTCTGTCACTGGCGGTGGGAGACTGGAGGAACAGAGAAAACTTGGCAGCATGGGCTGCGGGCCTGGAAGGGGTGCAGCAGGTGGGGGAAGCACTGAATCGAAAAGGCCGCACGAGGGGACCTGGAGTCAGGCTGTTCCTTGCCATATAGGGCTCCAGCCTGCTGCGACGGCCCCGTGTGGAACCTTCACCCCAGCCACCGCTGACGCTAGGAGATCCCGGGCTTCCCCGAGCGCAGGTCGGCTGAGGGGGGCGGGACCAGGGGCCTCCTTCCTCCACCTTCGGGAGCCGGGATTCGTCCAGGGCCTCCTATGGGCCGGAGGCGCCGCGGGTTTCTGGGCCAGCGGCTGACGCGTCCGCCTCGCCCCCGGGCGGGGCTTGGGCGCAGGCGGCTCCCGGGCGCGGCCTTGGCGGTGCCAGTCCGGCCCCCCACCCCACCCCCTCCGGCGCTGACCCGCGCGCTGCCAGTCCCGACGCCGCTGGGAAGCCTGCGCCAGCGCCGGCATGACGCGCGCTCTGTTCAAGGGCAACTTCTGGGTAAGTGGGCGCCCCCGCGGGACCCCCGCGCGCGCTACGAGCGCTCTGGTGGTCAGCCCCGCTCCGGGGCCGCGCTCCCTGCGCCCCAGGCCCGCAGCTCCGGGGCAGTTCTGGAGCGGACAGGCGGCTCGTCCGTGGCTGCCCCTGAGTGTCCCTTAGGTCGCGGGCTCCAGCCTCTGCCACCCGTGCGCCCGGCAGGACGGCCAGCCACGGCCGCAGACTCCTGGGAACCCGGACAGGCACCGCTGGTCTTGGCAGATGAGGAAAAGAGAGGCCCAGAAAGAGCCGCGCCGGTGCTCTCCGGGGCTGAGCCGGGGGTAGGTTTAGGGGACCCGGCTTGGGGACCTGTGAGTTTGCCGGTTGGCAGCAGCTGTTGGGCTCAGGGGACAGTCTAGCAGGCAACGTAGTTCTTTGGCAGCCCGGTCCTCAGCCCCATCTGTAGGACCTCTCTCCGTGCCTCCGCGCCATGGAACACCTGAGGCTGGATACGGATGGGGGAGTGGTCGGCTGTGGGCTTCTGCTCCGTCGAGTTGTGTTCCCTTCACACCTTCCCTGCACAGGGACCCCCATCACGGCTCCTCATTTAGGGGAGCTGACCTCTGCTTGTGGGACAGGCCATGGGCAGCTCAGGGTTGACTCTTGCCTGGCCAGGGTTGCTCAGTGCTTGGAACTCTGTGGCTCTAACTAACCCTCACAGAAGGGCCCAGCAGGCCCCTCTTCCCACTCCAGGGCTGCTGGCTGGAGAGAACTGGCACGGTGACCTCAGGAACACAGGCTGGATCCTACCTTGTAGGGGACTCAGGGCTGGGGTGGTAGCCCCGCTAGGGCCAAGGACCTCCCCACTGGCCCTCCTGGTGGGCCTGGAAATTCTTCAGGTAGAACACAAGCCTTTCCGACTTCTCTGGCCTTTCCTTTCCCGCTCAAGGTGTGAAACTGTCTTCAGGTCTCTGAATATCACCATTTCCGGGAAGCCTTCTTGGCTGCGCCCAGCTCTAGCGTTGTGTTGTTTCGTAGCGTTGGCCAGCCTGTGGACTTGGTGGCTAGTGTGCCTGTTCTCAATACTCTTCTTGCACGGGCATGGGCTTGCCAGAGGTATGTGGAATGAGTCAAATGGGCCTGCAGGGCACCAGGGAGGTGCCGGTGGTGACAGAGCTTTCATCCTCAGAGGGCTACTGCAGCTGTTAAGCCCCTGCCTTGGATGCCTTGGAGGAATGGGGCTGAATGGGCAGAGGTGAGGTCTGGGTTGAGAGTTGGAGGCTGGCTGAAGGTCTTACAGAAAGAACTTTCTGGATTTAGGCTTTCAGAAATTGAGCTCATGTGCAGCAGTTTGCAAAGACACTTGCTAAAATACTCCATGGAGTGTCTCTACCATTCTCCAGGTGAGAAAGCTAAGCAGCAGAGGGGTTCAGTGGCATGCTGAGGCGCCAGGGCCCGTAAGCAGCACAGCAGGGCCCAGCTGCTCAGCCACAGCCTTGGCAGAACTGGTGCTGAGTAACAACGCCCCGTGAAATCGTCTGCACTGGGGCATAGCTGGAGGAGGCAGCTTCCTCCAGCCGCAAGCAGGGGTCCCTGGAGGGTGGGCCCTGGTGTCGTCATCAGCTGTGGGCCTGGCACCTGCTGTGGTGCTTTGCCTGTGGCTTGTCTGGGGGCCAGGAAAATAGGACATTATTTGGCAGGACTTGAAGGACAGGCATTGGAGGGAGAGAATCTGGAGAAGGCTGAGCAAGGTTTTGAGGGAGAACCGTGGAAAAAGCGATGATGTGGGTGTGTGGAGAATAGGGTGCAAGTGGATTGGGCCGAAAGCTGGCAAACACAGGTGGGCATGGCTGGTCCTCATTGCACAAATGCTGTGACTTACCATCTCTGGGTGAGGCATTCTGCTGGGGACCCCCGCACTCCCTACCCCCCACACCCAGCAAGGCAGGCTGGAAGGCCCTGGGCAAGCAGAGTTGGAAGGGCAGGTTTTGGTCCCTGCATTCCTGATCTCCAGCAGAGTGGGGAGGGAGAAAGGGTCTGTGGGGGATGCAGTGGGGGGTTCCAGGTAGACATCCTGGGGGTGGGCAGAAGGAGGGCAAGGTCAGAGGCAGAGGGGAGACATGGCAGAGCTACTAGGGGGGTAAAGGCACAGGACAACACAGCCACCTGAGGTCAAAGGCAGAGAGTAGGGAAGGAGGCTGGAGTGGGCTGTGCACAAGGGGAACTGAAGGATGAGGCAGGGGCCCCAGAAATACAGAAGTGCACAGGAGGAACTGGTTCATGGAGAAACAAGAAGGGGGCAGGGTGATGTGAAGAAAACACATAGCCACAGGTGTAGCAGCAGCCAGACCCCAGGTACAGCCCAGCCTGGCCTCACCCCTCACTACTGTGCCAACCAGGAGTGCTGGGTAAAGGAGGTTGAGGGGAGGGGACACCGTGCCAGGCAGCAGGGTTGGGAGTTATGGGTATTTTACTATCTTAGCAGCTGGTCCGAGGATGTCAGTGAATATTCCCTCGTGGGGGCTTAGCACAGGGCTGCAGGTGAGAGAGCCATGGAACAGCCTCAAGTCCAGGGGCATCATCAGCTAGCACAATTTTCTTTAAAAAAAAAAATCTTAGGGTCATTGATTTATTTGAAAGGCATAATTACAGAGAGAGAACTTCCACTTGCTGGTTTACTGCCCAAGCGGCTGCAATGGCTAGTGAGTTTGGGCCATCTTCTGCTGCTTTCCCAAATGCAGTAACAGGGAGCTGGATCAGAACTGGAACAGCCAGGTCTCAAACCAGTGCCCATGTTGAATGCTAACACCGCAGGCAGAGGCTTTACATGTTATGCCGCAGTGCTGGCCCCAACACAGGGTTTGAATCCAGGTTCATCTCCTGATTAACTGGGTGACATTGGGCAGGTGACCCTCCACCTTCAAACTTCAGCATTTCCATGCATAGAAAGGGTGCTGATCACAGTGCCTATTCCATGGGACTGTTGCAAAGCTTAGCCCAGAGGGTGCAGTCCACAGCCTGGCATGAAGTGGGAGCTTGTAGTTGTTAGCTATCGTTATCAGCAAAGGTGACGGTTAAAGGAAGTGGGTCACGGTTGCTCAAGGGGAAAGAATGAGCAGATGAGGTGTCCAGAAGGAAGCACTCTTGGTGAGTGCCTGGAAGGTTTTTTGTTTTTTAAGATTTATTTTTATTGGAAAGGCAGATCATATTTATAGAGAGAAGGAGAGACAAAGAGAGATTTTTCATCTCTACTGGTTCATTTCCCCAAATGGCCACAACAGTCAGAGCTGAGCCAGTCCAAAGCCAGGAGCCAAGAGCTTCTTCTGGATCTCCCATGTGGGGGCAGGGTCCCCAGGCTTTGGGCCATCCTCGACTGTTTTCCCAGACCTTCAGCTGGAAGGCAAGTGGAGTAGTCAGGGTATGAACTGACACCCAGATGGGATCTGGGTGCTTGCAAGGTGAGGATTTAACCTGTAAGTTTAAGGAAACAGAGAGAGGGTGGGGCTGAAGGGCCACCAGAGGCTAGAAGAAGGATGCTTCCGGAGCAGTAGGCACGCTCAAGGTCCACTTCCGTACATGTTCCTGAAATAGATTGAGTCAGCATACCCTTTATAGGTAATCATGCTGAAATGCCCCTTGCTGACTTCCAGGAACCTTTGTGTGGATCTCTTAGAACCAGGACGGCCCTAACTGTGTTTGCCTGTTATTGGTGTGTACCTCCTTTCTCCTCCCACACCCTCGTGGTGGCCCTTTGGTGAAGCAGGGCTGTGCCGTTCATCTTGCTTCACTTTGATGGAGCTTGGAAGAATGAAAGCTCAGGGTCCAGTCTCCAGAGCTCTCAGGGAACGGCTGGGCCACAGTCGGGGCAGAGTCCCAGTCTCAGGGCATGAACAGATGCTCATGTGTTTCAGAAGTGGTGTGTGCAGGTGGCTGCTGGCGTTGAGCCAGGAGAGCAGGATGAAAGCGTTCCTGCCCCTGGCCGAATTCCAGGCTCCAGACTTGGCTGTGTGGTCCAGCCCATCCTGGAACATCTTCTACATCCTTATTTTTTTTTTTTTAAAGATTCTTTATTTGAAAGGTAGACAAAGATACAGATACAGACACAGACATAGACACACACACACACACACACACACACACACACACACACACACACAGATCGCTCTTCTGTCTACTTGTTCCCTCTCCCAAATGCTCACAATGGCCATAGCTGGTCTGTGCTGAAGCCAGGGGCCCTGAGCTCCATCTGGGCCTCCCACGTCTATGATGGGGCCTAAGCGCTTGGACCATCCTCCACTGCCTTCCCAAGTACATTAGCGGGAGCTGGATTGGAAGCTGGAACTGAAAAGTGACATTCTGATAAGAAATGCTGGCATTGTAGGCAGCAGCTTAGCTCACTGCTCCACAACAACTCTCCCCCAGATCCTTATTTTGACCTTGTTTTCCCATTCGCCAGGGCTTTGGGTTCAAACCAGCTTGTTAGTTGCTGTGTCCACACTTTGGACCGTCAGGGGTGGGGTTCCTCTCTCGACCTTGCCTACAGGAAGTCTTGGGGCCATCTGAACTTGCTCATTGCCCTGCTGTCTACCCTGGCTGTCCTGCTCTAGACCTTTGATCAGATCGTATCTTCCCATGCTGAAGTCTGCCCACAGCCTGAGCTGGGCTGCCCCCTCTGCCTTTACTCTTAGAGTTTTTCTTCGTAGGGATATGAAGTGCTGGAGGCTTTTAAAACATTATTATTAACTCAACCTTTCCTGTGCTTTTTTATTAATTTATTTTTTATTATTTTATGATACAGTTCCATAGGCTCTGGGATATCCCGTCCCTCCTCCCCAAGTCTCTTTACCCCCTCTGATTTTCCTTATATTATTACAGTAGTACCGTCCTTCATAAACAGTCCATCAGTCTGCTATTTAAGTGTATCTTGACATTGTCGGTGTGGGCAATGGCAGAGAGTCCAGCATCCCATTGTCAAGGTTTAGTTAGCAGTTTCATTGGGAGTCTTTGATTTGGAAATAGAGATG